GACGTGTTATTGTGCCACCACAAAGTGGTGTAAAAATACTCACAAACAATGTTAACATCCGTTGTTTGATCAAGAAAAGACCAATCAACTTTTGGAAAGTAGGTCATATAAAAAATTGTAATTTGCTTTTTTAACGTAAAAAGACTTTGTATGAGGGTCTGGGAAATTGTTTGTGAAGTGCCTTCGCTAACGTAACCTCAATACAAAGTGTTGGATGATGAGGATCTTCGATAAGCAAGGGATCTTCCATTTTAGAGACATTGCATTAAAGATTTGAAAAAACTAAACCAAGAATACGACCCAGGCCATTACATACTTACTATATTGTGAGATGTTATAGAATTGTTTAAACTCATTAATAACAATACTTGTACGATGTCTAGGATCCAAAACAAAATGAGGCGCATTAAAGTCTCCCAAAATTAACAGTATTTCATGACTAATTATTTTAAAATTTATAAATAATTTAAAAAGTAAATCAAAATCATCAAATGATATGGACGGTGGATTATAAACAATACAAATTTTAGTTAAGTACTTTCGTTTCAAAGTTGACAAAGCTCCAAAACTTCTTACAGTTGATGACATGCCTATTTCCACATTCCGAATAAAGTTTCTGCACGAGATATAAATATAAATATCCGCAGAGAACTATCTTCTTTATAATAATCCTCAGTAACGTTTTTAGTACTTGATAATCCGAAAAGCAATTCAGTGACGAGATTGCATCATAGAATACTCCGTAATAATTAGGATGTAAGCGGACATTATGATACGTATGCACTATAATAATAAAAACAGGTCCAGCTGATAGTTACAGCTTAACCAAAAGTTATTGTTATATCAATATTATCTGGAATATTTCTGAAAGCTTTGTCAAGTGCCAACAGAACACCACCCCTTTGTTTATTAAGCAAATAATATTTGCGATCGGAATGAAAGATATTATAAAAGCTGGTATTAACCAAGTCAGTAAATATCTGACAGTGAAGGATTCAAGTTGATTTCAGCAAACGCACTGATTTTAAACTGATCATTATATGACAGTGTGGCGTTGTGTAAAGCATTTGTTTAAGTATTATTGTTCCTTTCGGTAATAAAGGAAGAAATTATCATTTCTTTTATTAGAACAGGTTGTCTGAAGATTTAACGGGGATGTATCCGGTAATTGTTACTTTTATACATTTGGGCACCTCTCCCGGAGTATAGCTGTGTTACAATACTTCCTTAGCTTACGCTCTTCAAGTAAAAAACGTCAACGAGGATTTGAACTCATGCGTGCAGATCTCATTCGAACTTAGCGTATGATCTTAAGTTGCTCAAATTTAGCAGCGCCTAAACTGACACGGCACGACTACGACCCACTCGTTTCGAAAGTGCGTGGGATATCTTTTAGATGAAACACGCAGCGAATATTATCCAAACATTTTTGTAAATGAATTGTGATTAAATTCAAGGCGGATTCATGAATAACAAGTGCTGGAGTCTCATATTTTACAAATTGTAAATAAAGACTGTTATACAAAATTTTGAGGGGACGTCATCATGATTAGACAAATTTTGGTCAACGTTTCACAATCTATACGATATTACTATGATACATACAAAATCTGACGACAATTGGTTTGGCAGTTTCGAAGATTATCCGCGTCTAATAAAAATCGACACAGACGACAGATCGCAGATGGAGGATGGCAGACAGGCAGACCGACAGACAGACAGATCGAAAGGGGAGACTTACTTTGTGAAGTTTTTTCTTCACATTTTGAAGCTATTTTATGTAAGATAAAACTTCAATTGAGCAACAAATGCTCAAACAATTTTATATATTTTATTCTTAATCATCATTACTTCATATTTTATATGATACAATACTTTTTCTATATGTTTTGACATGAAGATTTCTTAATTCTTGAATACTTAATAGTTTCAATATTGGTTCTTTCTTCAACTTATATCTAAGTAGTAAAATTTCATAAGCTGTCCACCACATATCTGACAATCGGATACGTCCACTCGTCTTTGTTCTCTACACCTCATTTTTTTTCAGAACTTCTTTGCTAAAATCTCAGCTAAACCTCAATGTGCCTATTAATTTAATTATTCTTTACTGCGAGAATGACACTTTTAATGTGTTGATTCAAAGCAATTCGATTGAAGGCAAGAATGGCCGAGTTCCACCCTTTCTTTGTTTCAAACGACACTAATCGGGTCGATCCACCCGCTCTCTGTCGAATCGAACCTCGAATTAAACATTCCAATCACTAACCTTTGACTGATTGATGACATATTGGCATTCCCAACTGTTCTGATACGCATTGCTTCCAATATTTACGAGAGAATCTGCTTTACCGTCACTAGATGTTTGTTTAATGTTTTAATGAAGCCGTAATTAATTCGGCACTAAAGCGTTTACTCAAAGGTCGCGCTGATGATAAAGTTTAATGCTGAAACCGTTTCTCTACAAAAGATTTGGGACAAGAAAAAATAGTCGATGTGTAAAAAAACTAAATTTATGTTTTATTGACGCAAAACGCTCTATCCACGATATAATAATAATAGAATTTTTAATAATTTTCAAGTGTCGGTCTCGCTGAAAATAAAACTATTTCTGTAAATTATTAAAAATGATGCACAATTGGCCGCACTTCAGACGGGTAAATAGGATGAATAAATTTTGACCGCCCTGCTTTATTTATAAACAACGATGTCGTAAACAATTTGACGTTTCCGGGCTACGCTACCGTGCGTGAGGTTATGAGTGCAAAAAAAAAATATTTACAGCACATTATCAACGGGAATACATTACATCGGAAGAATGTCACGTAGACATTTGTTTGATTTGAATGAGTTTATCGCCCTAAAACAGATGACTAAAATTATTCATAAGCCTCCATTGAACAAAATATTCTGAATGTTATTATTATAATTCTTACCTTATCATTATTTTATTGTTATAAAGACGAGCGTATTCTCACATTTTCCTGAAAATAGGGTGTCTCGTTCTTAATTTGATCAATATCAAATTGACTGATTCATTAATTTTTTGAGTCACCGGTGTAAGCAAATCTAAAAAATATGAATGCAATGATGTTCATATTTTGCACATTTGCGAAAGAATTTATTCCGCGAAATTTTGAGATGCCTTAATCAATTTTTTGGGGTTGATAAACAGATACATTTTCATTAAAAAGTTACCAATGCTTACAATAACTTCAAAACGTCAAGATTTCAAAGTATTCAGTTTTGCAATTCTTGATTTACTCAGTAAAATAAATTGACACAATCATTAATTTTTTTCACACACCCCGTATAAGCAAATCAAAAAAATATTTACCTAGTGATAAATCACAATTACAGACTCATCATACTTTGCGAAATGCACATTTAAGATAGCATTTCTTCGGAAAAATTTTGGGGTGATGTGATCTATTTTTTAGCTGGGGGGATTGATACATTACAAGTACAGACTCATCACATTTTCTACATTTTAGATAGGATTTATTCGGCAAACTTTTGAGGTGACGTCATCAATTTTTTGGAGGGGACAAGTAAATATATTTTAAATGAAAACTTATCATGCTTATCATAACTGTAAACCATCTGCAAGATTTCAAAGCGTTCGGTTTTGCAGATTCCACATTAAATGTCAAAATGTTGTTTCCTCATTTTGACTTTTTTTCCAAAAATCTGTACAATTTAAAACCCATTTACAATGTACAATTTTGAAGTGACGTCATCACATTAGTGGTGGGAATGATTAGACAAATTTTGGTTAGCGTTTTATCATCTACATGATATACCTAGTATAAATACAAAATTTGACAACAATTGGCCCAGTACTTTCGAAGATTTTCTGTCTAATAAAAATCCGAGACGGCAGACAGACGGACAGACAGACGGAAACGGAGACCTATTTGTTCGTCCTCTAGGAGTCATGATGGGTCGAGAAAATGCACAGCTAGAGAGTCGGCCGAGGGACTCGATTACAATACTTCCTCTGCTTACGCTCGGGAAGTAATTAATGAAGGAGTCAATTTGTTTTATTTATTAAACTAGGACGAGGTCACTCCATTTTCCAAAAATATGCGAATACAATAACGTTATTATCAGTATTAGACTACATCTATCCAAATTGATATACATGTAGTTGCAAAAATGTTGATGAGGTCATCACAAAAGTTTATTAAGTAAATTGTTGTTGAAATACATATACCCGTAGCACGTTTCTTTACATTTAATTTAACAGTGCACACATATCTCTATTTTTAACTTGTAGGGGTTCTCATAAAAAATAAATTCGCAAAATCAAATTTTATAATTTTTGAAAAAAGCTGGATATTATTTTTTGAACTTTGAAGTTGTGTCGAAATAACCTTCGACACTTTTTTTAAAGAGTCTTTGCACTATAAATGTTTTAAAAATAGACACTGTTAATTTAAAACTTAATTACAATATACAAAGGTTTACATTTAATTTTCATGGACATCAACTCGTAGGACCACAACCCCGAACCTTAACATAATATCGTTAGTTTTATCGGTTTTCTGCGTGGATTACACTTGGCATTTATTATTCATTATAAGTGCAACAAATTTCATCGGAAAAGGTATTATTTACTCAACTAGATTTAATTCGGAAGTTTTTTAGTAAAACTGCCAACCTCATATATGATCTGTTTAACCTTGTAACGTGATCTGCAGAGTTTTACTGGTCGTAAGTTGTCATTTATAATTTGTCGTTAAGTTTAAAAAAAAAATTGCATTTAACCTTATCATAGGAATAACAGTAGAAGGGAAAGCTTCTTCATACTTTTATAACAGTTATTAATACTGTTAGGCGGCAATAAGTGCACAGTTTCCGCCTGTCTCTAGTGATTAGTAAGTGTAGTACAAGACTTGACTAAACATACGTAGTCCACACAGCTATATTCACCGAGACTATTATTTTATTTTTTTGGAAAAACATAGGAGTCCTACTAAACATTTTTTATCCCTAAAATGGAGCAACCAGTGATACAAATACAACAAGGAAAATTGTTAGGAACAGTGTCTAAAGACATGGATGGAAATCCCTTTTACAGCTTTAGGGGGATTCCTTATGCACGACCACCTCTAGGAAAACTGAGATTTAAAGTAATATATTTTAAAATAAGTGATACAGGGCATCATAACAATAACATTTTGTATTATTTAAGGCCCCGCTGCCCCCTGTACCATGGAAAGGAATTTTTAGCGCTACCCAAAACGGCGACTGCTGTTTCTCAGTGGATGTTTTTGAAAAAGTATTTGTCGGGTCTGAGGATTGTTTGAATTTAAACGTTTACACGCCACATGTGAGTACTACTATAAAGGAATTTACAATTTCTTTTTTAAATTTTGAATGTTTGAAGCTGCCAAGATCTGGCACTAATTTGTTGCCTGTCATGGTATGGATTCATGGAGGAGGCTTTGTATGCGGTTCAAACAACTCAGAGATATATGGTCCTGAGTTTCTTATAACAGAAAAAGTTGTTATCGTGTCAATAAACTACAGACTAGGACTACTAGGTTATTAAATTGTTTGTATTCTGCTTGTTGCCTGATTTCTAGATTTTAGGGTTTTTAAGTTTGAATGATCCATCAGCAGGAGTTCCTGGTAATACCGGATTTAAAGATATAGTAATGGCATTAAAATGGGTTCGGCAGAACATAGAACAATTTAATGGAGATTCTAAAAACGTTACTATATTTGGGGCAAGCTCAGGCGGTGCGACGGTCCACTTGTTGACGTTGTCACCGATGGCTCAAGGTTTGTTTCATAAAGCAATAGCCCAAAGCGGGTCTGCACTAAATCCATGGTCCAGAGCGAGAAAAGCAGATGAAGAGGTGTACGCCGCTTTCGGATGCGAAGGAAAAAGCGATTTAGAGTTTTTGGAACATCTACAGAGCTTATCTGTAAAAGAAATTCTTCAAAACCAATATAAACTTGAATATGTAAGCAACCTTATCGTATTATAGGTAATACTTTAGTAGAGTAAGAAATAACTCCAGGTTATAGAGCCCGACGCAATACTTGTTTTCGGATTAATCATAGAGCGACCAATTGAAAAACAAGGGGAAGCACCATTCATGTGTGAGGATCCGCTGAATATAATTTTGTCAGGAAACTTTGATCAAGTGCCTTTTATTATGGGTGCTACAAATTTAGAAGGCTTGGTTATTAATACGTACCAAGCGAAAAGATCATCAAACACGATAAATGATCCTGAATCTAACTTGCCACACTTCCTTGGTTATAAACGTGGTACCCCAGAAAGTCAGACTGTGGCACTAAAGATTCAAGAGTTTTATTTTGGAAACGAAAAACCTGGCGAAGACACTCAAGATAAAATCTATGAGGTAAAAACTGCTCTTGTATTTACAATGACAGTAATATTTTTCTTTCTGTAGATGGTAACCGATAACAGCTTTTTCTATGGAATCTATGCAGCAGCTAGGCTTCACATTGCAACTTCACGTTCCCGTATCTATTTTTACAGAATGTCCATTAAAACCTCCCTCGAATTTCTTCAAGCAATAATGGAAAAAGATAGAGAAAAGGGTACAATACACTTAACATAGAGTAAAACAAAGTTTGGAATTAATTTAGAAGATTGTTTTGCTTTACTCAACTTAAAACAATTTTGTATTCTATATCTTGTAGGAGCAGCTCATTACGATGACGTAGCTTACATGTTTAAAACCATATTTACACCTCCACTGTCGCCCGATTCTGTGGAATATAAATTCATAAAAATATTCGTGAAACTGTGGACGAATTTTGCGTACTACGGAAATCCAACGCACAATGTTTCTTCAATTGTTTGGAAAGAAGCCACAAAAGAACGAATTGGATGTCTTCAAATAGACGAAACATTATTATTTCAACCTACATATTTTCCTAGATGCATCCCATTTTGGGACAAAATATATTCTGAAAGTCCATCCGGACAAAATTTTGCAAAATTTTCTTCTAAATTTTAACAAATTGTTTAATTAATGCATGTTTTTCTTAATCAATTTTAGTAATGTATCTCCTAAAATACAATTAGATTTTTATGTTGGTGTGATCTAAATGTAATCCCGTTTCCGTCTGTCCGTTTGTCCGTCTGTCTGCCGTCCCGGATTTTTATTAAACATATAATCGCCGAAAGTACTGGGCCGATTGTTGTCAAATTTTGTATTTATATTAGGAATATCATGTATATGGTAAAATGATAACCAAAATTTGTTTAATCATCCCCACCAATAATGTGATGACGTGACTTCAAAATTGTACATAGTAAATGCGAAAGTGGTTTATCATTTCATTCATATTTTTCGGATTTGCAGGGACAGGGTGACTCAAAAAAATAATGAATGCGTGAATTTATTTTACTGATTTAATCAGAAACTACAAAACTGAATGGTTGGAAATCTTGGAGATGTTTTAAGGTTATCATAAGCCTGGTAAATTTTTTATCAAATTGTATTTGCTCATCCCCTCTAAAAATATATGTGATGTGTCTATACCTGTGATTTATCACTGCATTAGTATTTTTTAGAATTGCTTATACAGGGTGTCTCAAAAAAATTAATGACTGAGCCAATTTATTTTATTGTTTAAATCAAGAATTGTAAAACTGAATACTTTGAAATCTTGCAAACGTTTTGAAATTGTTGTAAGGATGGTAACTTTTTAAACAAAATGTATCTGTTTATCAAGCCAAAAAATTGATTACGTCAGCTCAAAATTTTGCCTTAACACTTGTTTCATTGCAAAAAATTGCGTGATGTCATAGCTCAAATACGGATGACGTCAGTAAGAAATGAAAAAAGTTAAAACGAGCGTAATTAGAAATATAAATTGACAATTTTTTGTTTTCAACAAATAATTCTTTTTGCAGCTACGGAATTTATTCCACAAGTAAGTTTCACCTTGTATACCCAAACGGCTAAACGCGTGTCTTGTATCGATTAAACTGGACTTGCATCTGTATTAATGTTTGAAACACCAGGATTTAAATAATACAATCTGGGTAATTATTTCATAAGAACACAATTCCTTTTTAAAAGGCCTTTTTTCGAATCATTAAGTGCGAGATTTATGAAATATTACTTAACTCTGAAGCATTGCTGAACACAGCTTTTTAAGAGTTTTTGTCGCTAAATAATAAAAATGTGATTTAATTAGCATAAAACAGTAATATTTTCCGTGAAATCGTGATGGTGCAACGAAAAATACTCGTTCTTGCTGGCAAGTACGATTATGACCGTTCATTTCCGTTAAATTGTGAAGCTCTGATTTAAATTTAGATAAATTCGACTGATTTACTACACATGACTTAATTTTAAAAGAGTTTTATTATGTTTGTCATATTGCAAAAATTTCTCATTTCAGATACGAACATACAGAACATATAATGGAATTTTTCGTGTGATAAGCTGCGACTGTGATAACGGGCAAACTAGTTGCGACATTTAACAATGTTGGCTTACCAGCGAATTACCCATAAAACTTTTTTCCGTTATGCAACAAATATTGGTACTTCGAAGTAAGTTCTCTGTTTTTTTCTATTCCTGCTCATCCTCTTTTGTTGAAAAATAAAGAGATCAAGACGTTCTGATATATTTTATCTTGCAAAAGAGTAACAAAAAAAAAACGACTTGCAATTTTTATATTCTGCTCTTACGAAAAGTGGAAAGCAAATGCACTAAATGCACAACAGTTTAAAAAAAAACTTCAAGTCCCGGAACATTTTAAGTAGGTAGACATGCAAGGTTGATATCTGAGATGTCGGATACAAGATAGCAGGATCAACTGTGAAAGAAAACTACTAATGGAAGCGTGTTTCTCGTCAGAACATCTGCCTTTTATCAGCCAATATCAACACAAGATCGACATTTGATGTGGCAAAAGAATGTAATCAGTAATCACTAATCAAATAGTGATCTAAATAGATTCTGCTTATAGGTTGAAAGAACAAAAAATTGGTCGAAGGTTATTTCTACAGGATTTCCCTCGCACCTTAAGTACAGTCTAACAAATCCGGAAAATCATACTTTAATCACTCACACACTTACTTGTTCTGGAATATCATTGACGTCAACGCATGATAGGAAAAGGATTAACATTTGTTCCAAAAAGCTAAAATTTGTAAGATCATTGAAGAAATCAGTGTTTTTTACTTCTACAAAGCATTTTTCAAAATTCACTAATGACGTTAATTAAATATTGTTCAAAAATGTTATTTTTAAAAGCAATCATGAACATGACATGAGCCATCTCTCAGTTTGGAACTTACTAAATGTCCAAGGGCGCACGACAAATACTACACGCATCTGTATAACTGGTTGCCTGAATGCTTTATACTTAACAAAAAAATAAAACTAATGCATTACAATAAAAAGAAACAAATTTATTGCGGTTAAACATCACCGCAAATGTTGAAAATGTTAAGTATTTTGTTAAAGGCACATCTTCACACTCTTTTTAATTTCAAAAATGTTCTGTAATCCATTGTTCAATTTCATGTTGCAACAGAAACTCCTGACCGCTGAGGAAACTTTGTTAAAGATGTTTGCGGCTTCTGCTCAGATCATCGACAACTTTCTCAGATAATGAAGATCTTCCACGAGATTTTCTTTTGTTGATAGTGCCAGTGCGAACAAATCTATTGATTACATCTCTAATGTGTGTCTCTAACGATGTTTCTTGTATCATTAAATCACGGTATTTGGCCAGATATTCTTGCTTACAAGCGGTTACAGAATACAGAAACTCTTCGTTTACGAAGCCCAATTGCGAAAACAAGACATAACAATGAAAGTGTTTTGTTCAGCAAAATAAACCATTTCACAGTCTTCCCTTCCTTCCTTTCTTGTTATTTTGGACTGATTTTTCCTATTCTCTAAACGTAAAAAAATAAGTGCAACATTTTGTGGTGCAAAAGTAAATTTTGTCGATACAGACAACAACGTTCTTGTAAAAACAAAAAAAATCGTTTGCTCGGGATGAAAATAAACCTACATCAACTTGTCATTTATATTGCAAAGCGATCCATGTTTTAAAATGTAACAACTTGTCACCCAGCCCTTCATTTGAAGGTTTCTATAGTTGGTAATCAGGAATTGCTATTGATTTTTTGAGTGGAATTCAAGAGTCAGCGTTTTTCCAAGGAGTATATTAAAAAAAATGACTCGACGGAAAAACTTTAAGCAATTGTAAAAAATGTGAATACATATTACATTAATAAACCACAAGTAAGTAGTATCTTGTATATTTTAAACGGGATTTATTCAGCAAAATTTTTAGGGAACGTCGTTAAGTTTTTCGGATACGTCTTGATTAGCGTTTGAACATGATTTATGTTAACCTTAAAACATTTACAAGATTTTAGAGCATCTTGCAATTTCTAACTTAAATTGTAAAATGTTATACAATTTAATTTTTTTACAATAAAACACAAAGTACGTAGCAATAAACACTTTATTTTGATATTCTTACCATGTTTACATAAGTTACAGATCCTCTTATAGAGACATAGTAAATTTGAAACATTAAACGAATCGTATATAATTTTTTATACCACACTAGCTCCGATACCGAAGCGTATGATATCACATTCATTAAGATAACAATATTTAAAATTGTGTATATACAATATGATACAGATGTGTGCCTACAGACTCGTCACTCACATGCCACTCTCAGTATTCATTGCCTTTGTTTCGTAATCAGTCTATAAAAAGAAGTCTCTGTACAAAATTTATATTAACATTCACACTATTCTTTTAAAAAGTTTTGGTAATTTTTATGACTAGAAAAAAAAAACGTTACAAGGGCTGAGATTGTGATATGGCCGATTGCAAAAAGTCCAAAACAAATACGTATCGTTGCCCGTGTTTGTCGTTATTTTCAGCGGAACTTTCATAAGAGTTGAGCCCTTCTCTCTTACGAGCTACGTTCGATAAATTACGTTATACAATTGATATACACACAAACATGATGTGATTAGAAAGACACGTATGTATTGTAGATCCGATATGATGGCGTAGACCAGATATGTCATATTCATCGATTCCTTTCATCATGACGAAAAACTATACGATATTCACGTCGCACTATTTACAAAAAAAAAAGAAAACTAAAGGATTTTCAGTCTCTCGTTTTAGACGCAACTTTCCTGCTGGCATCCCATCAAAGGAGTCCGAACTGTGACTGCTTCCCTGTGGTAGAGGTTGGGTTTAGCGGGGAACATCGAAGACACTGGAGAGACCATCGGCGAAGTTACCGAGGGTTTGCCAGGAATAGGGGGAGGCATCCTCCTGCCATGGTCTATCTGTGCGTATATTGTCGAGTCATCTCTGTTGCGGAGAGTGCCATATTGACTGCCACCGTTCTTCATTGTCTCCAGGGAATTGGGACGTGCCAGAGACAGTTCTGCATAAGTCACTTCGTTACCGACCTAAGAGAAATTAATATTTTAGTGGCCCTTTCGGTGTGATAGATGGAATGACCTCGAACAGGCATGCACACTAAGGTTTTAGTGTAAATTATTAACGCCGGCAAAAATCAGAAATGTTGCTTTAAATAGTGCAAAGCATGCAAAAAATGTAGAAACAAATAAAATCGTAAAATAGCCACATATAAGAAAAGGTGTATGATTTATCAAAATATTTAAATTCCAGATTTTTACTTAATATTCAAAATATGGCTCGTATAGTAACAATCTAACACATTAAATGCAGTCAAAATTTATAAATAAGATAATATAAAGCAAATGCCAGAAGCAGTTGTAGGAGGACAAACTAGATGCTTCATTTTTCACTAAATACAGTCGTTGTAGCCGTTGAGATCCTACCGTTGTCATATAAGAAATGTGCGTCATTTAATTTTTAAACTAGCCATTATATGTTTACATAGGACATCATCAAACTAAAACAATTGTTACTAATTTAATTGATGAAATTGTCACGAATTGAATAGGTTTTTCATTAAACACTTGATGTAATGTGTTTTCATAAAATGTATCTCGCGAAAATTACCTCCCGGTTATAAATGAAATAGGAGGATCAGATATAACATATAATAGGCATAAATTTGCCAAGCTTCGAACGTACCCCTGACCAAAAATCGGATACAGCGCTACAGTAATATTCATAATTTATTAAAATTCAAATGTATTCACTGCTGATTAAATATTAAAACACACATACTGTTCATTTATTATTTAAATCTTTTTCATGACTGACATGTAATTGCTTCCTGTAATTTAGGATCGGAGTATTAAAACTTTTCGGGTTCAGTGGAAGCACGGTCCTCTGGATGCAAAAAACCGACTATTAAACGCGTTCAGTTCTAAAAAAAAGTAAAAACCTTTGAACAAATATTTATTTTAAGGTACGACGATTTACTTAATTTGATTTTAGAGTCAGGCAACATTTTTTGTCCTGGGGTGTTTAATGAAATTTTAAAAATGTTAAAATTATTTAGAAGTTAGTTCGTATTAAAATGGAAAATGGCGAAATTAGATAGGTGAGTTTGTAATATGCGAATTTAAGTTTCAAACTGTTTATAAATAAAATTATACCACACTCGTGGCATTATTGTTTTCTTATAATGAAGAAAGAAATAAAAGAATGACAGAAATACGTAAACAGAATATATGTTAATAATATTTCCTTTGTTATGTAAGCAGTTTTATTTGGCGGTTTGTAAAATAAACATTGTCATCACACTTAAATGTTTTTACAATAAAAGATATCAGGCAAATTTGAAAAGTTAAAATTATATGGGGTCCTGGAAAAAATCGTATAACATTTCTTTCTTCACCTTGTTCATTATGTAAAAACACAAGTACATACAGAGTCCAAAACTTAGTAATAACACTAATTTATCTATTTTTAAAAGCAGAAGGAATTATAATTATTAATTTATATGCTACTCTACAGAAATCGTTCATTCTACCATTCCATTCCAGTATGTTTAGCCAAACAAATCAATAGCTGTTGCAAAAAAAAAAAATAAGGCAAACTGTGAAACCTTACATATTGAAATTATTCTTAAAAACCTACAAAAAAGTCTGGTCGTTAATGTGTAATTTTTTACATAGAATTAAATGGCACACACTGACGAACAGAATTTTTGCTCATGGTCGTTCTTGATAAAAAATTTATCCTAGGTTACCTATTCTGTCGCATGTGCTCTTACAAGATTCACTCTGTATATACTAAAGGTGACTCTTCAATCTCTTTTGTTAATGATTTTGACGCATTATTAGTACAGTGAGGTACATTTTTTCCACAATCAACAGAAAAAAATTATTTAGGACACACATGGTCATGTAAAAGGGTTCAATAAAACAGTGGCTTTTTCAATTAAATGTTTTTTAATTACGGTGTAATCATGAAGTCATTAGCTCCAAAAGGTCTCTGGAAATTTTTAGGCTTCTATTTATTCCTGGATAGTATTTGTCCGTTCGTTCCAGAACAATCAATTTTTTTTTAAATTTTGATTGAAAGGGAAGCAAAAATAGTAGTAAGTAATGCTCCTGGATTTATGTTTGTAAATAAATATTTATTAATGGAAACAGCCTGCTAAAATTTTTCTTAGCCATACAAAAACGTTATCTAAATAGCTGGAGTTTGTGCCACTAAAACCACATATAAAAGATAATTTTCAACTAACACAAGCGAGAAAATCTACTCAGCTAACCAAGTAACACTATGTAAAAAGAAAAACGGACTAATATATTCGGTAACAATTTTTTTGGTAATTTCGTTTTAAGTTTATGAAAAGACTTACTGTTTTCACATACCTATCACCATTTATATGTTGTCTATCCCATTCTATTGTCACTAAAAAATAATCAGTAGTTAGACGACTAAAAATAAACTGTTACACACGCGACAGTTTAATACCAAGTATAAATTTCGTCTTGCTGGAATAATTTAAGCAGTATTTAGAAACAGTTTGAAACATTTTCTTGTGTGATGAAATAAGCCCGCAATAAACGAGTTAGCCCAGAACAGCAATAAAGCGTGTTAGCAAATTGATATTTTCTATTTCAATGTACCTATGGTCCTAAATTGAAGCAACCGTACAGTTTAGTATATGTCAGTAAACTGCCTATAGCTACCCTAAAAAATAAAAAATTAAAAACCCACTAAAGTGAATTAAGCTATGAAAGAATAAAAAGTGCGTAAAAAATTCCTGATGGCATCGAAAGTAATTTTTTCCAACATAAAAAAATCGTATAATTCGTTGTAAACATTGAGCAGGTCTCTCTAAGATATGCAAAATATTCCGCCAGAAATTGAATAAATTTGAATATAAGAAACTTTATCGTGGAACTAAATTAAAACAAACATGTAAATTCAGGGTTGGTCCTAATAAACTACATCCCGAACTAGCTTCAAACAACAACAAGTATGCGAACAGCAAGTTAAAAGCTCTCGTAGAATCAATTATTATGCTAACTTACATGTTGGGAAGCGTAAGCTCGATCTCTAGCCATATAAGCTTCTGCCAGGGGTGTGAGATTCTGTTGAGGGGATGATGTTTCGTACTCCGTGGTAGCTGTCACTGAATTATTCAAACCAGGAGTTTGAGCGGCTGACCCCAGCTGATAATCGGAGTCTGGAACAGATGTAATAAAAATTTGCTTAGACTGGGAAGTCGGGCGACATCTGAATCAGAAGTGGTTCAAAATTAATGTAACAACACATTTGCACTAGTTTGCATGATACATTACTGTTAGTTTAAACATTCCAATGGTCAAACTTCTTTCAGAATTTTATGAAAAAAATTCCTTGTTTTTTATCCAAGAAACGTAAATCCCTATGACCAGCATTAAAAACAAGGCACTTGAGTTGTTGTTGATTATCCTAGCTTTGGAAACGGATACTAGTATATTACAGATCAAAGTGGAAAGTGTCTCATTACTTTCAAGAGGAAAGATAGTTTACAGAGGGGTGCAGCCCTGAGGTGTACTATTTCTCTAGAAACGAGTGAAGTTTTCCTCGAGGTTTGTATACTATTTTATTCACAATCGTTTTAAATAGCTTTTAATAAATAATCCAAAAATTAACGATTATACTTGACACGCATCTCAAGGATGGAAAGTGAGATTTACTTCCATCTCAAGGGTGGAAAGTGACAGATAGGTGATATATGTCACTTTCCACCCTTGAGATGTAAGTGAAGTATGTAATAGCTTATTTTCAGTCTTTTAAAAAGCGTGAAAGTGAATATAAATTGTTTTCGGCTTTGAGTACAGTTGGTGTTAATATTTATTTTAATTAATAACAATTGGCGTATCTGATATGATCTAAACTAAAAATCTCTAATTTAGTATGATTAGAATTTATTGCAAACTGTATCAAGGTAATGAGTAATTAACAGTCATTTACTGGTTTCTGCTCTTGTTTGTTCACCGTTATTGATCAAATGGCATCCCTACATCGCACAATACAGTAATTTAATTAGGACAAGCAGTGTTGGCTTTGACACACGCCAAAGCTGAATTTTTCGTTGAAAATAAAATAAATAATGTATGAGAAAAGTCAATTTGCATTGGTCACAAAATGACGTCGTTGAAAGCAAATCCGATATTCCGACAAAAAGCAACGATTTGGCTATTTGCAGAAATCGCCGGCAACGCCATATAAATTTACCTTTATTAGCCGGAATAACATCTGGATTTTTATCGTCTTTCTCAAACAAATCCTCGGATTCGGACCGTAACGGCAGTGTGACTTTCTCCTTGACGGGTAGGAATCCGGGTCTAAGAGCACGGGAACCTTCTCGATGCGCTGCTCGCACTTTGAGAGCCCCCAGAATTACAACCGTCACCAGCAAGAGTGCGGTCACGATGCCAACTAATATTCCAAGGATCGGTGCTATTTCTAGTTGATCTCGTGTTCCCAATGATAATACTGGAACAGAAGGGAATTATTTGGTTTCTAGTAACAACAAATGAAAAGGTTGGTTCTCGTTGGTGCGACCAAAAGTGAGTTATTCATAACGAACCACCCTCACATTTGGAATACAAACAATGCCGGATCAAGTGATCCTGGTTGAAAATGTTACCCAGAAGTTTCATTTTTTTTAATATTTTGTATACAGCAAAACTACTACTAGTTATAAATATTAAATCTTATAAACATTGTTTCGAAGTAAAATTATAAGAATTAATGGTCTCCTGTCCTACTTTCAAAAATTCAAATCAAATTTTAAATGTATTTTCGCATAAATAAGTATGAAAAATATTCTGATTAAAAAAAATAAATGAGTCAGGGGTAGCTTTGAAATATCAAAAAATGTACCTTATTGTGGTAATAAGGGCACAAAATAGTTAATTAAAAAAACATTCCAGAGCCATTCTTGACACCCAAATCATTTATAGACACGCTATGTATACAGTTACATGCAATTTCGCAGTAACATTTTTCGTTTTCCTTCTTAAGAAGTATGTATAACTGAGCAATTACTTCTTCATTCTTCTTGGTATGCAACGATAAATCACAGGTAGAAACTGATCATATTTTGCACATTTAGGGGCGAGATAGGCAAGATTTTGAGATGACGTCATCATTTTTTTGGCGGGGGGGGGGGGAATAAACATATATCTTGATTAACAAGTTACCATGCTTACAATAACTTTAAAACGTCTGCAAGATTTCAAAGTTTTCCAAAACCACCAAGATAATACTTAAAACATGTTTCACATGGTAACTTTTTCTAAAAAATAAGGAATTTGCAATTAAGCTCCGCCTTCGATTGACCACGATTAAAAAAAATCATCACAATTCAGATGTCGGCGGGTGCGCGCTCCTTATATTCGGCCTATTTTCCTTAATATACGTAGTCATTCTTTCACAGCCAGAAACTTAAAAACATTTTTGAAATGGTAAATTTTTGTAAACAAGTATGGATTTTGCAATTAAGCTCCGCCCCTGAATACGATAACAAATGAAAAATTTATCGCAACTCTGATATAACTGCATAAATTAATAAATTCCATTTCCTTTTTTAACATGTTTTATGTTTCTTGTTGTGAAAAGAAGGCTACACATATTAAGAAAAAAAAAGCAAAGTATAAACCCCACCCTCCCACCCTATATCGATTGTGAAGATTTCTTTTATTCGACGTGAGCCAAGAGGGTGGAGCTTAATTGCAAAATCTTTGTTTCTCGACAACAAATTACCATGTGAAACATCTTTTGTTATTGTTGGCATAGTAGGGGAGAGAGGTTGACACAGTCTCCTTTATCTCAAAATGATCTGTTTTGAACAATATGATAATACTTAAAATATGTTTTTGTGAAAAATTCATCACAATGGAGATGGGTGGGTGGGGCTTTCTTTTTGTTTTTTTTTTTATTCTAAATACTTATACACAGGTTTCTTTCAACATCATACTTAAAACCACGTTTTAGATTATAAAGAAATTAGGATTTTGCAATTAAACTCCGCCCCCGGGCTTACAAGGAATAACATCGTTACAACTGAGGTGGCTGTGAGTAGGCGGGTCTTAATTTTGCCTTTTTTCTATGTATATGTAATGATCTTTTCACGACAAGATATTTAAAACGTTTAAAATGGTAAATTTTTGTTTTGGGAAACATTGATTTTGCAATTAAGCTCCGCCCCTCGGTCTGACAACGAATGAAAAATTCATCACATTTGAGATTCGGGTGGGTGGGCGGGGCTTAATTTTTGACTTCTTTTTCTTAGCATGTATAGGTTTCTTTCAACAACATAACAAACATGGCAATTTCTTGTAGAGAAATAAGGATTTTGCAATTAAGCTCCGCCTTTCGGCTCACGACGAATAAAAACAGTTATTACAATTGAGAAAGGGGCGGGCGGGCGGGGCTTTGTATTATGCTTTCTTTTTTTTTTTAATGTGTGGATATAGTTTTCTTTTCACGAAAGGGTAAATTTCTGGAGAAGTGTGGGGGATAAAAATTATGATTTTAAACATGTTTCAGGTTTTTGTTGTGAAGGGAGAACCATGTACATGAAGAAAAAATGTCAAATATAACCCCGCTTCCACCCACCCTATCTCATTTGTAGCGATTTTTCTTTGTTCATCATGAGCCAAAGGGGGCGGAGCTTAATTACAAAATCCGTACTTTTTTGCAAGAATTACCACGTGAAACTTGCTCTTCAGTGATCGTATTTAAAACGTATCAAAAACTAAAACATAAGCCCCACCTATCCGTCTGGATCTCATTCGTGATGGATTTTCCCTTCGTTTTCAAATCGAGGGATGGAGCGTAAGTGCAAAATCCATATTTCCTGTTTTAAACATGTTTTAAGTTTCTAATTATGTATATACAGTTTACTTCCACCAACACGGTACTTAAAATAAGATTCACATGGTAATTTCTTGGTTATTTTTTCTAATTATGTATATACAGTTTACTTCCACCAACACGGTATTTCAAATATGATTCACATGGTAATTTCTTGGAAAAAATAAGAATTTTGCTAAGCTCCGCCCCCGACTCATGACGAATCAGAAAAGATTAATCACAAAGAAGGGCTAAATCTAAGCCCCGCCCACCCGCCCCCACCTCAATTGTGATTATTTTTTTATTCGTTGTGAGCTGGGGTCGGAGCTTAACTGCAAAATCTCTATTTCTCTATAAAAAATTACCGTATGATACATGTTTTAAGTATCGTGCTGTTGAAAAAAAAAAAGTATTAAGAAAAAGAAACACAAAATTAATCTCGCCCACCCGCCCCTAACCTACCTCAATTGTGACGAATTTTTCATTTGTTGTCAGATCGAATCCATAAAATTTACCATTGAAACATTTTTTACGTTTCTTGTTGTGAAAAGGTGACTACGTATGTTAAGAAAAAAGAAAGAAAAAGGTAAACATAGGAAGCTTAAAACATGTTTAAAATGGTAAATTTTTGTAGAAAAATATAGATTTTGCAATTAAGCCACGCCCGTGGATGTGATAACAAATAAAAAATTCGTCACAACTGAGACACGGGCGGGTGGGCGGGGTTTAATGATTGGTTTCTTTTCCTTAATATATAATGTCTTCCAACAATACGATATGAAAAATATGTGTCACATGGTAATTTCTTCTAAAGAAAAAAATTATTTAAGGGCTCAATTTAAGCCCCGCCCACCCACCTCAATTGTGATTATTTCTTATTCGTTGTTAGCCAGGGGCGGAGCTTAATTGCAAAATCGTTATTAATCTACAAGAAACTCCCGTGTGAAACATGCTCGTGTTGTTGAAAAAACCTAAATGTATTAAGAAAAAGAAGCAAATAAATTAGCCCCGCCCACCCGCCCATACCGCAATTGTGAATGTGAATTTTTCATTTCTTGTCAGATCGAGGGGCAGAGTTTAATTATAGAATCCATAAAATTTACCACTGAAGCATGTTTTAAGTTTCTTGTTGTGAAAAGGTGACTACTTATATTAAGAGAAAAGAAAAAAAATCCAGACGGCAGACAGACGGACAGATAGACGGAAACCGGGGATCTATTTCTTCGTACCCTAGGGGTCATGAAAGGTCGAGAAAACGTAAAAGTAGAGCGTCGGCCGACGGACTCGATTACAATACTTCCTTCGCTTACGCTCGGGAAGTAAAAATTGTTCAAGAGTGGAAGGTGAAAGCAGTATTTCTACGACTTAGAACCAAAGCGACAGTCCATGAAGTGGAGACATTCAGGTTATCCAAGGCTCAAGAAGTTTCGGGTGCAAAAATCTGCCAGAAAAGTACTCGCTCAATTTTTTGGGATTCGCGTGGGGTATTGATGGTTGATTATCTAGAAAAGGGCAAACCCATAACAGGAGAATACTACTCAAGCCTATTAACAACGCTGCGCGAAAAAATTGTGAAAACGGGGGGAAAAAATTCCAAAGGGGTTCTGTTCTTGCAGGATAATGGTCCTGCACACAACTTGTGCATTGCAATGAATACAATTCGTGATTTGGGGTTCAAAACACTTGACCATCCTCCTTATTCTCCAGACCTACCTCCCTCTGATATTGTCTGTTTCCTTAATTGAAAAAAAACCTCAAAAGGCCATCAATTTTCTTCAAACAACGAGATAATAGAGGCTGTGGAGACTTAGTGTGAAGAGTAGGAAGAATATTTTTTTAAGAGGGTTAGAAAACTTGCAGGATCTCTGTAATAAGTGTATAGTTTTGAAAGGGGACTACGTTGAATAAAAAAATATTTTGATTTTCAAATTGTCTTTTCTTCGATGGTAGGCTAAGAATTTGTCAAATTACCCTCGTAATGCTACATTTCTATTGCTACATTGCTCTAGTTAATGCTCGGGAAATAAAAATTACGGTGTGCATTCCAGTATGTTATATACTGAAGTAATTTGCTCATTCAGTTAAGAAATATTTTACATTTATTTTATTATTTGATATTTCTAACTATATTCAGTAGGATTTTTCTCGATTGTTATACTCATAAGATAGTTTAAATGTAATTTTAAACAGAGGCACTGGCGTTCCGGAGTTAATAAAAATTAAGTCAGAAATAATAATAGTAAATGATATATTTAATGACTGTTTAACTACGATGGAAAGATGTTCCGGTCGTACAATATAGTCGTTTTATCCTTTCAGAAAACATTCAGACTAGTCACGAGTTTAATGGCAACTAACGCGAGGTTAAAGCATATTTATTTTCAACCAGTACGAAAACTCGATCATTTAAGTAAATGGAATCTGCCTCTTACATTTACGTAGTGTTTTATTTTTACTCAGTGTAAGTACATTTACGTAAAGCGACAATCAAAGCGTTTTATAACTTGGCTGAGAATAAACCCGGATCATCGGTCCCGACGTCCGGATATATTTATCGAAGTTTTCAAGCAAGGAATACCTATTCAAGAAGAGTTCCAAGATTTACCTGTTTGTTTTTCGGCGACTTTCAACATCAACCCCTCTAATAAAACAGTTTCGCTTCTCCCTTTCGAGTTGGCGGCGTACACCACCATTTTGAGTATCTTTCCCGGATCGAGTCCGCTCACAGTAAACAAAGGAAACTTAGCCGACACATTCGCCTGAAGGGCGTCCGTCTGTTGGTCGTAAACTTCAAGCAGAAAAAACTGCGGTTGGCCTCCGTCGAAACCCTCTGTGCACTCCACATCCAGGGATTCGCTCGTCTGGTTCATGATGGTGCAATTGAAGGGCGGGTCCGGCTTGCCGGCGGCGATGACGTGAAAAATGCACGGTTCCACTTGACGTCCCGCCAAATTGTTGGCCCAACACATGACCGTTCCGTAGTCTAGTTCATTCATGGGGGTGTAGGTCAGCGTCGAGGTGAAGTGGTGCATCCCGGAGTGATATCGCATCTGAGGAACATCGACGTTTTCTGCTGAGTTGTTGAAAGACCACTTGAAGCTGTCTGGAGGTGGGTAAGACTCCACCTCGCAGAGGATTTTGGCATTCTCGTGCCTCGCTACGCCGTATATACGCTTTTGTTCCGTTCGGCATACGGGTTTGTCTGAAAAGATTTCCTTCTATTAACAACAGATTCAATTGAAATTTTTAACGTAAGTTTACAAAAGGTTCCTACCCACTCTGAAGGGACTATTATGTCGACTCGAGAGGTAATCAGAATTTATGAAGTTGAAAGGGCAGACGTGATGTGGGGTACACAGTCTAAAAAGTTCAATCCAAAAATTTTTATGTATCTACTGTCAGTCCGTTTACAGATGGGTTATTACTGAAACGCGATACCTATTTATATACCACTGTGCAAAATGAAGTAAAGGAAGATATGCTTAACAATAGTGCATTTTTTAAAGTATGATAGATGAATTTGTATGATTCGTTCATAGCAGCAACTCAGCAGCCAAATAAATTTATTACAGCTGCAGAAAATTAATTACAAGATAAAGAGGTTTACGGATAATATAAGCTGCAAATAGCATGTTTGCAGGAATTATTCGAAATTGTTTCTGTAAGGATAAGGCCCTATATAATATAAGAGAACATAATTATTATGCGAAGAAAGCACAAAGATACACGAAAGTGTTCTTGCGAATTTTTAATGGAAAGATATCGTAGTTACATCTATAATGGTTACTTATTAGCATTAAAATGGCAACTCCGACAGCGACTTGCTAATATAGTTTTTGCCAAAATTGCAAAACTACCACCTGTTAATTTTAATTTTCATACTCTTAGAGCGGCACAACGTTTTATACCCTTGAAACTTCAAGTAACGTCAAGTTGTCTTCACGAAACACGCAAGTACAAACAAATTATAAACCAATTATTTAACCGTTTGTAGAATTTGAATTTATTATCTTTCTTTAAAACGTTTTGAAATGTGAAAACATTTCCAAAATCTGTCATTGAGCCTGCTATCATTAAATTGGATTAGTATTTTCAAAGCAGAATGCTATAGACTAAAATAATATTATTAATTATTAAGTCACATTGAGGCCGCAGAACTCAAGTTGTTCTGATTCATTATTATTCTTACAAGGAATTTCTCACGATGATGCACTATGTTTAATAAAAAGGTTAAAAAAGTCGAAAGCAGTAGGTGATGACAATGTTTTTAAGGTTATGTTAAAAATTTTGGTCGAAAGCTGTTTCGAGAGAAATTCCCTGAAGTACAATGAAACATATCCAGCATTTTCGAAAAATTATAAAATTTTGGGCTAGAAGGTTATAAGTATAATCTGACAAATCTAGGTCTTTAAAAAAATGATAAAATTTAATTTTACGCTTTTTGTTTTGTGATAACTGCTGTAAAGTAAAAATCAGAGGCATAAATAACACCCCTTGTCCTTCCGCACTAGTTAACAGCAACCTGTTTATATTTATACATCGAACGAATGTCACGTAGAGATTAGTTATATGTTTGTATAACATTCAAATTGCTTTAAAATATGGTTCATTAAAATGACGTCATCAAATTGTTGGTGGGGATGATTAGCAAAATGTTGGTTAGGATTTAACCATCTACATGATATTTCTAATATACATACAAAATTTGACAACAATCCGTCTAGTAGTTTCGGAGATTACGTGTCTAATAAAAATGGATACAGACAGACAGACAGACAGACAGACAGACGGAAACGGGAGACTACTTTTTCGTACTGCAGGGGTCATGAAACGTTGAGAAAATATAAAAGTGGCCATTCGTTCGATGGGCTCGCTTACTATACTTCCTTAGGGAAGTAAAAAAAGCGCGTGTATTGTGAAACTTCTTACACACGTATTGTATCACCACAAACGGGTGTATTTCCAAGTAGGCTAAAAATAGCAAATGGACACAACTCCTTAAAAAAGTATTTCCCTACGATATTGTTAATTACAGAGCGATCAGTCTATATTCCAGTGTATTAAAGATTATTGAGCTAGCGATGAAGGAGCAATTTATACATTTTTTTTTTAAATAACTTACTATCATCAAGTCAAGATGGTTTTACCAAAAATAAAAGTATATACGAATATATCAGTTCTATAGATTTTATCATTAGATAAAGGTCAAATGGCAGTTGGTGTTTTTGTAGAATTCACTAAGGCTTTTGAGTGTCACTCATAATGTCATAATATACTTTTGGTGAAGCTTCAGATATGTGGCAGCTCTAAAAATTAACAGTTAATCTTGGGGTCCCTCAGGAATCAATATTAGGGCTAACTTTGTTCGTTCTACATGAACGATTTGTTTAGATATAGCCGTCTCATATGCAGACAGTACAAATTTATTAGTGAGATGTAATACCATGAAGGAAATTAAATCAGTGATGGTATTTGGTAAATTAAATGTTTGGATTGAGCATAACTAGTTAGTCATTAATAAAAGTAAGACAAACTGTTTAGTTTTTAAAAATGCAAATTCAAATACTCAGCTCGTTCAAATAATGAAGACAAATAACAGTGATAACATAAGTTGTCCTTCAGAGGCAAGAACACTTGGATTGATTATAGATAAAAATTTTGCGGTGGTTTGGGCATATAAGTAGAGTACTTATAGGCTAAACTTGAAAAAACTTGTTATTACATATAACAGCAAGTGTGTAGTAAAGAGGTTGTAAAACAATTGTTTTATGGCAGAAATACAGATTCGCAATTGTGCAATAGGAGACTTGGTATTAGATCATCACCAACTGTTAATTTGGCCGAAATTTAGATAAAAATGATGAAATGTTAACTCTCGGAGAGCAGTGTAACAATGTTTCGCTTTGTGGAGTCGCTCTGAGATAGGGGCAGTTTAACTTATCCACTTGAGAGCAGGGGTGCGATTTTGTTTCTCGATCGAAGTGATAAATTATCACTTGAAATAAATGTCATTGCGTATCTTTTAAAGGCAAAAGTTTGCATTTATTCTTTGCATATAAGCTTATTAAATGCTCAAAAGTTTACAATTACCTTAATTTTAAGAACTACATATAACTCAGGATTACAATTTTGAACTTCTATTTTGACATAAATATCGAGGTTATGGTTCCAAAATTTATCACTTTCCTCAGAGCTATCGAGAAAATATCACTCCATGAAGACTTGATTTCGTGACAGAATCGAGAAATGTGACAGAAATGTAGCATCTCAACCAATCAGCAAACGAGATTTTATCGTTATCGAGTTTTTTTTTTTGATCGAGAAACAAAATCGCACCCCAGGCCCGACGACGTTCGCTCCTTGCGAGATTAGCCGAACCCTCCAAAAGTTGTCACATGTGTGTCGACTTGAAAAAACAGCCCTAGAGAGTGTTTCTCTAAAATGGACACGTAGATTTTGTTTCGGCGCAACTGGTAAACTATATAACAAAGGAACTTTTGGTGTGAGAATGGTGTACAAAAGTTACCATTTTGATAAATAATCCTTACAAATTTATACAAAGTGAGTTACCAATAATAAATGACTATAACCTATCCGAAAATGCAACCCAAAATACATTAGTAGTTATATAGTGGGGCTTCTAGGCCAGGTCAAATGAGGTCAAACTGGCCCAGCAGTCCCATTACTTTTTATCGAGCGGTCGTTGACCTCTGAGTTCGGTCATCGTCTTATCCTCTGTTGACATGACCTCAGCCGAGCTCGTGCAGTGCGATCGGGTAGGGTCGTGCTTGGCACGTGTCGGGGAAGGTCGTAGCGTTTGTCCTCGGCTGACCTGGTTCGGGCACAGCGACCTTTTCGGTCGGCACGTGCCTGTTGTTGATCTGGAGGTTTAATGACCCCTTAGGTCGTGTTTTGTTCTCTAACCTAACTATCCTCTCATCTAACTTAGTTGAAAAATATATATTTATAAACAAATCATTTAAATGTAGTCAGGTTGGCCGAGTGGACTAAGATTTAAGCTCTGATTCTCGAAAGAGGACGTGGGTTCGAATCCTACACCTGACAGTTTTTTGCGTTTAAATAAAACACATTCTAATGTTATGTTATTTATTGAGGTAATATAGAATACAGCCATTTGTAGCATTATTTAGTGACGAGGGACATTTTTTATTATTATATTAACATGATTATCACATGCTGGGATTTCTTTGGTCTGTTTCACGCAGTCTTCAATGGCTTCCAAATTCACAATTTTTGGACAGTCTTTTCCTAGGTCAGGTCAACCGGGGACAAGACGATGACAAACGCTCGATAAAAAGTAATGGGACTCTTTGCTCAAATTTCTTGAGCTAGAAGCCCCACTATATAACTACTTATATTCTCGAAGGTTTCATGGACTTATTTTTCAGTTTATCAAAAAAGTCGTCTATGTGATGATGTCTATCAACATTTCAATATCGTTGCCTTAAGAGAAAAAAATGATATAATTTCACTTTATGGCGAATGCAGAAAAAACGCTTTCTTGGCTGTGGAGTTTTATGTTAGGTATTGTTAAAAAATGCTAATACTGAGCATTTTAAAACCATATTTGTCGAACCCACAAATGAAATTGAAATATTCAATATCATTAATAAGTTGAAGCCATCAAATAGCCATGACATATATGGCAGTAACGTTAAAATCATAAAATATATTGCACCAACTATAAGCAAAGTCTTAGCATTTCTTATAAACAAATGTATTTATGAGAAAACTTTTCCAAAAGGTTTAAAAATAGCAAAAGTAGTAGCCGTACACAAGAAAGGTAATGTTGGTGATATCAACAACTACCGCCCAATTGCGATTCTTCCAATCTTGTCGAAAATTTTTGAATCGGTATTAAAATAACGCGTACTTACGATTTTCGAAATAAATAAACTCTTTGTTGCTGAGCAGTTTGGTTTTAGAACAAATAAATCTACAATACAAGCAATACTAAATGTAGTAGATAATGTCCTAAAAGGTTTTGAAGAAGGTAGAATTACTAACATAACTTTAATTGACTTAACAAAGGCATTTGACACCGTTAACCACAATATTTTCTTGTCAAAACTTCAACATTATGGCATTAGAGGCACACTCCATGACTTATTAAAGTCATATTTGACAGATCGAACACAAAGGGTATATGAAAAATCCAAACTATCAAACTTGAAACCTCTAACTGTAGGCATCCCACAAGGCTCTATCCTGGGACCTATTCTCTTCCTTGTTTTTATAAACGATTTACCATCAAATATCCGTGCCCTGAGTACCATATTATTTGCTGACGACACGACCATCATTAGCCAGAATAAAAGCTTAACAAAACTAACAGAATTAGATGCGAAATGTGGTTGAAAGCCAATAAACTTACTCTAAATAAAAATAAAACTCAATCTTTACTGTTTTCTCTAAAAGAAGAACAGCCAACTTATAATAAAGTTAATTACTTGGGCATTACACTGGATCATAAGTTAAACTGGGGGGAACAAATTGATAGTTTGGCGTCAAAACTGAATTCTGCTCTTTACCAATTAAGAAAATTGGTCAACTATTGTACTCTTGAAGGTTCCATAACATTTTATTTTTCAAATTTCAATACTTTAATTAACTATGGAGTGATATTATGGGGAAATTCAACTTACGCCATTAGAATCTTCCGTATACAAAAGAAAGCTATTCGAATACTAGCCAACATTTCAGACCAACGTGTACACTGTAAACCCTTATTTAAAAAATTTGGTATATTACCTTTACCATGTTTGTACATATATAGCGTATCAATTTATGGATACGAAAATTCAACCATTTTTCAGAAAAACTCCGATTTTCACGATTATAACACCCGAAATCGGGATAAATTTATCACTCCCCATTATCGCCTACAGAAAAGTCAAAAGTGCTTGAAGTTTGACGCGATTAAGCTCCTTAACGTGTTACCGCCACACTTCAAAACCTTAAATACAAAAAATTTCAAAAGGGAAATAAAAAAACTTTTAAAAACCGAATGCTTTTATAGCACCAAAGAGTTTATTACCTCATTCAATGTATTATTGTAATAGTTCACTATTCTCGTATTCACATTAATTTGTTTGTTATTTGTAACATGTGTTTATTATTGTATATTGTCATTTTTAAGCTTCTTGTCTATTTTATTATACAATTTATCATGTATTATCCGACGATCCTGAACAAGCTGTACATTGTAAGGGTAATTAAGTATTATTATTATTATTATTATTATGTAGATTTTTGGATAGAAAGTATCAGCGGATACTAGTTTGAGAAAAAAAATGAGGTGGTAAATGAAACTATAATTTTGGAATTAGTGAAAAATAATTCTCACATGTGCACCGAATACTAAATAGATCATATAGCCCTTTGCAAATTTTTATAGCACATCAAAATTTGGTTTATTTTTCAAATGCAGCACAATTTTTAAATAATGGAGAAGTTAACAAGCATAATTGTCATCATTACTACATACAAGACAGCCCCCACTCGATTAGAGAAAGACATTTTCAAACAGTCTACTCCACAAACGTTTGGTGTGAATCCTAGGAAAGCAAATTATTGCTCTCTGTTCTTTTAGAAACAATTTGAACGAAAATTCTTATTTAAATTTTATTCATAGAAGGGTGCGAGATTACCTTGATATGATCCTCCCAAACAGCTGGACTGCAAGGGGGGAGGGTCTGTTATTAACATTTGGCGTCTCAGAAGTCCAGCTATTACGCTTTTGCTTTTTTTTCTCTGGGGTATAGTTAAAGAAACAGTCGAATTCGAATTAACGGGATCGAACATTTGCAAAATAAACGGGTTGCATCACCAATTCAATTGGATTAATTATTACTCGTGAATCACGCGGTATAGACAAACAAAAATTTTCCAATAGAGAGTGGTAGTTTTCTCAAAAACAGTTTACAGTCATTTTTTTTAAATTGTGGTCAAATTTTTCATCACGTTTTTTTTTTAAATCAATAACTCCGTTATTTATGGAAATTTCGAAATGCAGTTTTCGCCACTGTTCTCAACTTGCAAAACTCTAGACACTGCCAAAGAAACAATGTCGACTTTTTTGTTGGAAATGAAATACAGCAAAGGCAGTTCGTGTCGAAAAACATATTTATATTAATTCTGAACTCTGAAAATGTATTGAAAATGCCATGTGCCAAACGCAGGGACTCCTCTTAACGATTAATATGTCAACTTTCACACAACCCTAAAAAATGCGTAATGTAAAATGAGGGCAAACTCCACGGCCACACAATTTTACGAAACGGTAAACAGAAAAGATATGTAACATTTTATTTACTTGGAAATTATATTAAGGGTGAATGAAATACGAATAAAGGCACTATATAATACCGAATTCATAAATATTACGGTAATGGTCACTGTTACCAGCATGAAAAATGTATTAAGGTGGGTTTTAGAAACATAGGAAAACCAGCACGCTACTATGAGCTAAGATCAATAGTCTCAGGTGGCGACGGTTTGAATGTGACACAAAAAAAGAAAGAAGTGTTAAACTAACAAAAACTACTAAGTACTAGCAGATCTGTAGAGTGTATGATTAAAACCTTTTGATGAAATAAGATATTAAGGTAGGTTAAGAGATCAAATATATAGATAAATGACAGTATCAGGCAGTAATAAAAATCCAGTTAAGCGATTCTACACAATAGTTGGAAAGTAAGTCAACGGAGAAAATAACGGTAAACAAAAGTACAATAAACAGGTATCTCCATACAAGCTACATTAAATAGACAAAAAGTTTAGAAAGAATAGTTTATTTTGTTAACAGATAATTACAAAATAATAAAAATATATGCAGGAGGGTAGAGGACAAAAAAAAAGAACTGGAAACTAAGCAATTACAACAGACAAATACAAATGCAAACCATTAGAGACGAATAAAATAACGACGTCGTGACTTCATTAATTTTCGGAGCTTTTGTTAATAACATGAGTGTTGGTCACTTGCGCGCCGCGGTTAGTTTACTCCATGTGGGAGGTTTAATCCATAAACAGGTTATAGAACACTTGCGCGGAAGTACGAGGTTATAAGGTTGTCATTGGGGCAATAAAAATATCTGTAGCTCTGTATACGTATTTGACGATCGATTAATAAATATGTGTGTAATTGTGTGAAAGTTAAATTATTTCTCCGCGTACTTATTTCTTGTATGTGACCAACACCCACGTAAACTACTGCAACAACTGTTCATGTCATTAACCCTTAAAGTTATACGCAAATTTTTTAACCATTGCGCGCAACTGTCCAGTAGTGTTAGGACCACTTGCAGATTTTTGTGACTGTAGGGCGCAACTGACCCATGCCCAGTTATTATACCTATTTTTTGGTAGTTAACCGGGTCATTTTAATCACACTGAAAAAAACAAGAACTAGTAGGAACTAGCACAACAATAAATTCGACAACAATGTATTTATTTCTGGAGGTACCTATATATTCATGTTGAAAAGTTAACACAAACATTTTTTTCATTTGGTTAAGACTTATGTAAATAAGGCAGGAGAAATTATCTCCATTTTATTAAGACAATAATACCTGAAGTTGTTTGCACATTCAAATAAAGGGAATATGAAAATCAAGGAGTAATTTTCCATTAAATATTTTATTTAAGTTGAGAGAACGAACACCGCTGCTGTAATTTCTCGAACAAATAAGGGATTCTAAGAACAAAGGCAAACATAAAAAAATTACACATTCGTGTGTGTTTTTCAGTCTCAGAAAAGCACATATTTCAGACGTGATTAAGAATGTTTTCGAGTGTTTGTTCAAGTCGACTGTTTACAGCGTATTATAAAACAAATACTGATTACAACTTACACATGATTTTCAATTCGACTTTGTTGCTGTCTCCATCCCCTTCAACGTTTGAAGCCACACATGAATAATTTCCTGCCTGACTTCTTGTAACTCCCTGCAAAGCTAGGTCTCCTCTACTCATTATAACGCCGCCCTTTTGATTGTGTTGTATTACTTGATCCTGCAAATAAATGAAATGATTTAAATATTTGCTCCCAACTCAGAACTATTCTTCGGATTCGAAACAGATTTAATTGAAAACTCGATCTTGGAACAGCGAGATGTGAATTGGATAATTGTTGTCTTTGTTCGAGTCTGATGGCGTAAATGTTTGGCGTTAATCCGACGATTTTCCGCTGGGATAAGTGATACAAACATACGTTTCATCTGAAATACAAGTTCGCTCGTGCAGTTAATTAGTAAATCGATTAATTGTTAGTGGTTTTCGTTTTCAATACGAGAACGGCGTGCCTAACGGATCAATCAGTTTAGCTGACAACCTAAAAACCCTCTTTTTTCACTGATACTAATCGGTCCACGTGCGATACTAATGCTTGGTTGTCATATAAAATAAGAATGCGTAGATAACAGTGAAAAACAATTTCAAAAAGTATTTCAATAAATGGATAAACAGATGATTGAATTTTTGCGAAAACCTTGACGCCCGAGTTAAAAATTCAAGACGGATTCATAAACCGCAAGTATCTGGTCTTCCTCAAAACCCCATCGGCAGCATTGTGACATGTCCTGGGAGCCCGTCAAGCTAGGAATGTACTCGCGATGCCCCACTCAGAAATCACGAACGACTCAAATTGAATTATTTTATCCAATATGACGATTATTGTAGGTCAATTTAAACGGAATAAATGCACAAACTGCACAAAATATTTTATTAACGAAATTTGGAATTTAAATTTGGTCAGAGATGAATCAAACATGGATATATTGCTATTGTTCGAATAATCGTTTCTTAAATTTAATTCAGAACTAGTAATGTTATCACTAAGCCAAGTTTCAGAAATAATAATAACGTCATAAACACAAGAGTTAAACTTAATTGCGAAATCCTCTAATTTAGTCCTTACGCCACAAGCGTTTTGGGTGTGATTTCTGTAACTGATTTCCTTCAAATCACGAGCCAGTAACTAAAACATTTAGAAGACCATCAGTGATGATATAAGTTAAATTATTTAAAAGTTGTATTATTTAGCTTTTATTTGCACATTAGCTATAACCACCTCATTTTGTGAAGTAATAAGTATAAGATGGAATTGTGTCGGTATAATTTGAAAGCGAATGCAGAGAAAATCGATGAGTCAAACCGTAAAAAGCATAATCGGCTTAACTTTTCATAACTTCTTTATAAAACTCGTAAATTAAATAAGTTTTCGATTAGCAAACATTCCAATAAAAGTTTTAGATCCACTTTAGAAACTAAAGAGAGTTCGGTAAAATTTTGATGATGTCTCGACTAAATAGTAGGAAGTTTGCTTATCAAATATAGATCAGCGGATAATCCGTTATAGCGGTTGGACGTTTTAAATTAACCCAGAAGTAAAGCTTAAAATAATTTATAAATGTAAAAACAAGAATCGATAGGTCGCCCATAAAAAGGAAAGATAACACGTATTTCCTTTTCTGGTTCTGCCAAAGTGTACATGTACAAAAACTAGAAAATACCAACTTTGTCAAAGCTTGTGTCTAAAAGGAGCTTTCGAACATGCTTTGAACTTCCGTCGCTTTTAATATAAACTTTGTAGTTAATTCTGGGGTAATGTTTTAAAGTTAAATGTTCTATGACGGCGAGATTACCGCTTAAATAATTCATATATCCCGAATCGAGTCGAATCTTCGTCAAAATCGGTAACAATAGAAGTAGCGATGACGAAAGACTCGCCAGAACGGGAACAATTAGTGTTTGATTTAATAATGTCCAGTACTCCAGAGCAAAAACGGTGGTAAGAAACAACACTAATAAAACAGATAGCCAGCTTGCACACAGCTTTATTTTTTGCCGATGTCGAAATTTCTCTTTATTAGGGACGAGCAGCGAGATCTGTGTACTAAATACACAGAAGTTGGTTGCTTATTTGTCTTTTATCTCGAGTCGGAGACCACATACTTATCTGAAGGAGGCCCGAACTACAATTAATAAACGAACTTTAGTCGTAGGAAACTTCTACAGTAATTCTGCACCAGCACAATCTGAAATATTGTCTACGAGGAGTCTTGCCGTTTCTTCCATTGTCTCTCTCGATTTCGTCCATTTTCTTGCGCTGTAAATGAAACGAAACGGGTTGACGTACACAAAACTCTGATGATATGACCCTAGAAGTATCATGTCCGCGCACAGTTTCGGTGTTTATTATATCAGAGCGAAACGCAACAACAGCGTTCAGTAATTACAGCTGAAAGTCTGGACGTGTCTAGAGTTTCTGGAATTCCAGAGCATTTCAGGAAGAGGTGTAGCGTAATTCGTGCATACCGTCCGTATACAACAGCCTGACGTGGAGAAATGGATACATCCATTCAGCGATATTAAAGGGATGCTATGAGACATCAGGAATTCGGTACAATTGTTTCTTTGCTGTGCCTAAACTTCGATGTTCTTCGACGTCTCAAGGCAGTATATTTTCGAAGGACGTGACTACGCTTTATTGAACTAAGGACATCCTTTTTAGTAAACGACGTGATGCGTTTATTTCGATTCCGCACATAAATAAATGTTGCTGTTTATTCGACAACCTAAGCTTTTTATTCATTGTCAATCAGTTAAGGTTGGAGGGTTGCTTAGCCGAAAAACGAGATCGATGCTACATATATTGGACAGCTCGAACAAGAGAGAGGACCTGCGTGGAAAAGCCCTCTTGTAATATTAACTAACGTTATTATTGACGAAGGGTCCACGCGGATGTCCCAGAAGTTAACAAATAACCGGAGGGCACCTAATCTCCTCTGTACCGACACTTACCTAAATGTACACTCCTGAATTCCACTTGCCTTAAGGAGATGCTAGTTTATTAACTAAACCGGAAAGTAGTGGATGTAGCACTTTTGTTGAAACTTCTTTGTACATTAGCATACTTATCGTAACTGAAGTTCACATTTTCGGCATTCAATAATAATGGAAGTTCATATATGTACCGCATCTGCCACAGTTCTTAAAAGTTTATGAATCAATTGTATGACTACCCAAAATACAAAGAATCACAAATTTTGATTTTATGTTAACGTTCAGTGAGCTTAAGAACGAATGAGCAAAACGAAAAACGGAAAAGCAGTTGGTATACACAAGGCTTTAATAAACGGGTGATTGGCAAACAAACTTTGTTACGAAACTCAATGTCGCAACTATAGATGAACCCTAGATAGAAAGTATCTTTGTTTGAGTTTTGCCATTTTGTACCAGGCAGATATGTCTCGTATTCAAGACAAAAGTTCAAATAAGAAGCTACAACAAGCGAACAAGAATAACTCTTTCAGTATTTGTAAAATTGGGATTATTGAAAGTTTAAAGATAAGTACCAATCTGTTGACCTCTTTTATTTGGCTTCAGTCGTCAAACTGTTTGAATTGAGACAATTTGTGAAATATAAGATTCGAAGTTGAGCCGTGTGGACAATGTAATGTACTGTACATACCGAGAAATTTTGGTAAATGAATGAGAATACGAGGGCAGGACTACGTTATTATAATAAAATTTTTAATAGATGAAAATGTTTATTAGAACAAATTTACTTGCATAGTCAGTTTTGGGACAAATGACTCTCAGTTTAACAAATATACATATTTAGACAAGATTGAGAATGAAACACCCGCAAACGAGCATTAGTGTGGACAGGACTGAACACGTTAAAGGGATTTTCAAGATATTTTAAAAATGGTTGCCAAAATAGATACACTGATCTATTAGATAGGTAAGTCAGATTTGCGTACAGGTTAATATGAAGGAATATTCCAGTCGGAAGCCTATTTCTCCTCCAAAACAACACTAGACCATATACTGCGCAGCTGAAAAGGAACGCATTATAAAAATTCGCCCTTAAAACTTTTTTTACAGTCCAGAACCACCCTGCGAGCTTTACTTTTTTGGTTTCTTCGAAGAAACTCTGGACGGTCAGTGGATTGAACTGTCTGACGACATGGCCCAAAGATCTTTCCAGAATGAGAATAGTTACAGCTTTTAGAGAGTTGGTTAAAAGTGGACAGATATTAAATGATAATGCCTAAAAACAATATCATTCACTTTTAGTTTTTTTGTTTAAATAAAATTGAGGTACATACATATTACTAAATTCGCATTCATATGTGAATTACATTGATACCCGTATATATAACTGGGTTACAGCATATTTAAACCAGAATCTAATTAATTAAATCTAAAGAATTAATACGTTAGTAATAGAAATTGTATTATACGTGATCAACGAATTTTATAAGGTTTTATACGGTTCCTTGATACAGTCATTAAAGATGACAAAATAAGGCAAAACGCCAACATTATTTTAACAGTTGAAAAATAGTGTGATACGTATCATAATATAAAAATGTTTGACTTATAGTAATCGTCCATCGGACTAATGGCCACTTTTATATTTTCTCGACGTTTCATGACCCCTAGAGTACAAAAGACGTAGTTTCCGTCTGCCTGTTTGATTGTCTGTCTGTCTGAATCCATTTTTATTAGACGTGTAATCTCCGAAATTGTTGAACCGTTCGCTGTCAAATTTTGTAGGTGCATTAAAAATATCATGTAGATGGTTAAATGCTAACCAAAATTTTGCTAATCATCCCCACCAACAATTTGATGACGTCATTTCAAAGAATTCTATGTTTATTTAATTTAACTGTCATAAATACAACAATATATATATAAGTGTGGTGTACTTATCCGCTTTGAGTTTTTCCTTAACCGTCCAAATTTTTGCGAAAACATAATAAACAGCATAATAACAGTTTGATTCCAAACTTGGGCTTTGGTTTTTTTTTTGTTTTCTCTTTTGCTCTCGCTTTGTGTATTATCTATGTTTATGACGTAATAACAATTTTTTTGTTGATGAAATTACCTCACTTTCTCGAAAAAGTGAGAATACGCCCCTCTTTATTTCAAAATGTAAAACGGACTCAGCGGCGAAAAATCTCTTTTTTTTAATGTGTAACCTTCTCGGGAATCCCAACTGT